TGTTTATTTTTTTATATAAAATGTAAAATATTTGCATGCCTACATCCTTAATATAAACAGGTGGCAAAATAATACATTTGTTATAATTTTAAACTGTTTAATGCAAATAAACTTATTTCATTTCATTTCATTTGGATGAGTGTGAATATAACCTATACCTATACAATCGTCATTTAAATCCATACAATCGTTTATATGTAATTGAGTAACAAACATACAAATATATTTACAAACCTTCCCGTTATAATATTACTACGATTAGTATTTCAATTTAGAATAAGTTATTTTATTTTACTAAATAGACTAATCAAAAAATTATAGATAAATCTTACTTTTAGTATGTTTAAATAATACTATTAAATCACTATGTATTTTGTAAAAGTATAAGAAAACAAAAAAAGAGCATTCACATCAAAGTCTAGCAACATCCGAAAACTGCCAATTTTCGATCACAAACAACAGTCAATATTTCTGAACGATTGTTTAAAATGTGCGCAGCTATTATGTGGACTGAAAACATAAATTATCGATTATTCCAAAGCTAAAATAGTCAGTAATTTTACAGTTAAGAGTGCAATTTATAATATTAAACCACATCATTGGAAACCATGAAACGAGATAATAAAACCGCAAACGAATCATGCTCAGAACAATGGTCGAGAATATATATTGCTAATAACTAATGACATGTAATGTAATGTGTAAACATAAGTAAGCTGATACGTAATTTCTATATTACTATTGTACTAAACTAGTTGTTATCTTGTAGAAATCAATATCATTGGTTCATCATATCAGCCTTTAATTGTCCACTGCTGAACATAAGCCTCCGCCTTGGGGGTTTTGCCCGTAGTTGCCACGCTTGACAGGCGGATTGGCAACCCCAGTTAAGCTTTGGAGATGTTTTGAGAGGGACGCTGTTGCCCATCTCTCGGTCTCCCTTACTCGCCTCGTCCGACACCCACGGAAAAGGAAGGGGTGGTCTATTCTATGGCATGACCACACTGCTAAATAATTGGTCATTTGATTAGAATTAATTTAATTCCACTACCTTTAGTATGTCTGCGACTACCCACACTCGAAGATTGACTACCACTATTACCACCAGAAATTCCATCCCTCTTAAAACATCTCTAAAGCCTAACTGCGGTTGCTAATCCGACTGCTAAGCGAGGCAACTACTGGAAAAAACCCCCAAAGGGGGTGGCTTATGTTCAGCAGCAGACAGTTAAAACCTGATATTGTAATATTATGATATCAAAATTAATATTATAAAGCAGAAATTTGTTTGTACCTAATAAATAAACTAAAATAAAAACCTTTAACCGATTTAAAAAAAAATCCAATTATAGAAACGCAACGTTATCAGCGAACAATTGGCTATTTTAATTAGTGTTCTTAATATTATCAAGTGTTCTTTTTTTAAATGAAGACGCAGCAGATTTTTTTTTAATAGTAATAATAATAGTGACCGTAATGACAAAGTAAGAAGAAAAAAAAAACAAATAAAAAGAAAAAATTGACATAGACTGTATTTTTCTACGCGATGAAGCAACGTTTCTCAAGAGACGGCGCCATAAACAAGATTAAAATTATATAAAGGTACTGCTGAAAGCCGTTACATATATCCTATCCACAAGGGACTACAACATTCGGACATTTCATACAAAAAAAAAATCAAACAGCAACTTTAGTCGTAACCAAATTACTATGAAAATGTTAAAAACTGTTGATTACAAATAAAAATCAAAAACAATTGCACAATTTTATTTCATTTTACAGTATTTCAATTACACAAAATATTTTCCATTAATTGTTCTCTTACATTCCCTCGCAACAATATTATTCAATTATTTTACAATAAAAATATAATCAATTACAATTATTATCCAGTAGTAACCACAAAAACTTTATTGAGAACCGGATTGGCAATAAACGCAGTTTCATACTTGTGGAAATGTTTTAAGAGGAACGCTGTCCATGTCTCGACCATTAAGTACTCTTAATCGCCTCTTACAATACCCACGGGAAAAGCTAGCAATAGAAACTAGCCTCCTTGTTTTTATTAACAATTTCTTTTTTCCCCGAATGGTAATATTAAAATCATGGAGACGGCGTGACGTCAGCACATAAGGGGCAGAGAGTAACTATACTATACGAAATAGCACTATACAGTTGTATTAAAACTGCGTAGATGTTTCCAATTTTCAAAATACTTTTTTTAATATAATAATATATAATAGTGTCTGATTTTTCGTGTTTAACTTTTCATAATCTTGACAAACGGCGAAAGTCTATTTTCAACCACTATTCAAAGATTAGGCTTACAATTTAAAACAAAAGACTGACAAACAAAAGCTAATTTTGTTAAGCCTACCAGCGACGTCTTTACTCTAAAAAGATTATCTTTAAGCTAAATTTTTAGCTGAAATCTCTTGACATAATAATAGTTGGATATAAATAAAAGATAATATTTAAAGTACAATTCTAATGAAAAACATTTTCTATTTGCTTTGCAAGACTGCCAATTATGTATAAGTATACGAAAACCTTCGTAGTACTTCAATATCAATGACCTCATAGTTCACAAAACTATATTACAGAGGCAGGAAAAGGAAGGAAAGATAAATAAAAGCATGGACGAGAACAATATAATCACAACTACTATTACATATACATATATATTATTGAGGCGACTGGTAAAACCTACTTTACTATATTCTAACATATATTTGTATGTTTATACTCTTATTTTCTATATTGTTTATCATATACAATATATAGGTACAAAACTTTTTTTACTATACCAACTTGCATGTAATATCTTTTAATATAACATAATGAAAATATAAACAAACGAATAACAAAGCCGACTACAGATAATTTGGTAATACCTCTAATAGTACATATAAAAAATCAATTAATTGTTTAAATGTTTAGATTTGTCAGTAATTTCATTTGAAATTTCAAAACAAACAGTGACTCAATCGCGACAAAACAAATATAATTTGTCCTGTATTAATTTTGTATAACGGAAGTTAACCCTACCACGAAAAGAAATTATCATAATCGATTCAGAATTTGAGACGCTATCCCGCAGAATACAGTGAAATTGAGAACGTTCTACATTCTTTTAAATCGTCTCTATTAATCTTTTAATTTCCTTTACAGAGAAAATAAATTTATTGGTACAAGTCGCCCAACTATATCAACGTTTATCTAACATCGTCTAGCCATTGTCAGTACGTTGCTCTCTGCGCCAAATTAACATTTCAAGATTCAGCACAATCGTAAGTTCCGTTGGTGAATGAATAGCGAAAGCGTAAATGGGCATTAGTCTTTATTAGTGATCTTGGTAATATTGCGTTGCTTTGAGCACCGTAATTACGCTCTTATTCAGCGTAATTACATGTCCAACAAAGCACTATACCTATTACTTTATTAACACATCTCGTAAATATGACAATGGGTTTCCACTGAAATTACATCGAGTTGTATTATATGTGGGTATATATATGTATATGTGTATGTAGTGTAAATATTAGAATGGTAATTGCAACTAAGAATGGCAAATAAACTGACGGCCCATCTGACAGAAAGTGTGGTGGTAACCGTCGCCAATAGGCGACGACACACACGGTTATTCCTTTGTACCCTGTAAATTCACTGCCATATCCCAACCTCCAAACCGAAATACAGCCTTGCAAACACAACTGCTTCACGGTAAAAAAAATAATGGGATAAAGGTGCCCAAGCAAACGACTTTTGTACAGTCTCCCTCTGGTAAATGTTTATTATTATTTGTCTCATTTTATAGAAAATAATTTCATTAGCTATTAGAGAAATGAAATGTCATGTATTTGGGTTTGTAGTAAGAGTAGAGAAGACTTCAGACTTGAAACAAGAGATTTTTTTACTGAACTGTTATCTTGCTAAAGTCCATATCACTTGTTATTTTATAATACATGAAAATAACTATCAAAATTAAATCTAAACAAATAACAAGAAAATTTATCAATAATATAAACATTTTACTTATATAAGTAAGTAAAATGTTTACTTACTTACATAAGTTTAGTTATGTTAAGCCTTCACCGCAAAACTAAAACCTACATCGTTAATTTAACTTGCTCCAACTAATTTCTATTTCAACTTTCTTAGGAGACCTTACTAAAGTTGTCTCTTAAAAAACTATTTGCAACATCTGTCTGAACGAAAATTGAATATCACTACGAGCGAATGTATCTCTGCCTTTTATCCTTTACAACTGTCGATTTCTTATAAAGACTCAAAGAAATACCTAAGTTCAATTCAAAAGCAAACAAGGGACTAGCTGAAACTATACAGACCCATTGCCGGTATTTCTGGTTTTGTTTTTCTTAGATGGTCTTATTAAGAGCTTAACCATCAGCTTAACTATTATTTATTCTTACGTCATTACCCTAAGGTTACCTTGAAAAGATTGATTTCAATAATAAGACCGGCTAATTGTTTTTCTACAAATATTCTATTATATTTGTTTATTAATTTGCATAGAAACACTCATTCACTACTTTATTAGTTTTACGATTACATATAATGTAATGGCCGTGTGGTTCCGGCATAGAATAGGCCACCCCTTTCTTTCCCATGGTGTTATAAGAGCCGACTAATGGAGAGCGACGTATGGGCAGCAGCGTCCTTCTTAAAACATCTAAAGCCTGACTGCGGTTGCCAATCCGCCTGCTAAGCATGGCAACTACAGACAAAACCTCCAAGGGGAGGCTTATGTTCAGCAGTTGACAGTTTATGATGATGATGATACAATGTAAAAATGTAAATCTTATTAATAAAAAATTAAATTTTATTTGGTCAGCACATCAGTTGAAAACAAATGGGCAACTTGAGATTTTTTTATCTTCTTTATATTCCGATTACGATTTTGGTGAAAATAAATTAGAGTTTGGACAGAACAATGTTCACGAGCTATTTTGCTAGTAGGTAATACCAAATGCACTAACCTGTCTGTCCGTATGCAAATATGCAAGCGTTGTATCCGTCGAAAGCATTGTCCAATATATCTCTGCCGAGACATTCGAAGACAATCTTTTGGGAGGCAAAGTTTGGTGCAGACGGCTCCAAGGAGAAGAAACAGTGGTCGAATGCGAACGTCTTTGGTTGTTTTCTGTAAAAGAAAAATTAAAGATAGTTAGCGACATATATAAGTAGATAATTACACTAGGTAATTATTTCCAACGTACTTAGTGTATTTAGTATAATGGTAATAGTTATTTATAGGAATAAAACAGTAAGTAAAACTAATTTGAGCGACAGCCTTATTAGATAATTTACATATTTTAATATATTCTCTTTGTACACAACTTTATTATTAGATCTTTTTTCTCACAAGGTTCTTGAATAAACGATGACGAAACTCGTACATATTTCAATACGATGTAAATTCAATATTTTACATACATACAAATTATCTTGTTGTAGGATAGTTTACATCTAAATTGTTATGTAACGCCATTTATTGAAATTTGCCAAAATAAAGTACAATTTGTATTTACGAGTGTCTCAAAATGGTATTATTATTTATAATATTTAATATATATATATATATATATATATATATATATATATATATATATATATATATATATATATATATGATGTGATATGTGAGGTACTACGTAATTCTAACTTTACATGTTTTTGATATATTCTTTAGCAATATAAAGGTTGTAAGCCTCTTGGTAATAAATAGAAATAAAGCACAGGTTCTCACACTTCATTTATTTTAGATATCATACTATTAAATTATATATTTACTTATTTTACTTTGTATATGACATATAACAAATAATATAACATAAATACCCAACTTCTGTTAATCCATTCACAATTATTTAACTATAGTTTCTTTAGGACTTCCATCAATAATAATTGTGATATATTTTATATAATAACCACGTGGTTTACTATACTTGTTCATTCTTGATACGGCAGGGAGCTCCGCTCTGTTCAACGGTTGGACAAGAAGTGTCTCCCCACCAAAATGACAATCTTTTATATCCAAACGGCTGAATTCGAGTAAACAAGTCAGTGAGATCACGTGTATTTACAATTTCATTAGTTTTTATTTAAGTATCATGATAACAAATTATTATAAAATCAATTAAAATATAAATTAGTGTTCTATATACATTACAAGAATAATTTATTACAAAATTCGGTATAATAACAATTTTAATATTTTTTTTATATTTAAAGTAGTTAGTTTGATTTTTATTAATAAATGTAGGTACACATTTTGACACAAAATGTTTAAAAAAATTAATATAATTTAAAATCAATATCTAAAAACCAACCCTGGTAACAAAACCATCGTGCTAAACTCCAGGTGTATTCATCACGATTGGTTAACTGACTTGCCTTTTCATTCTCACCTATCATCCTTCACTGGCGCCCCGCCAGCGTACACCGTTAGCACAAACGGGATTACCATTCCATTATCATACATTAAAAAAAAAATATCAAAATCAGTTCAGAAATGGCGACGCAACCAGTAATTTTAAAATACAGACAAATTGACTAAATAGTATAAGTATTCGAGACTAAAATAATCAATTAATGAGAGATTCGTAAATTATACATAGTATAAATCTACTCTGTGGGGTTTCGTATATATATATATATATATATATATATATATATATATATATATATTTTGATGGGTGAAAATGGTATGGTAACCCCGCCTACGCTAACGGGATACGCTGGCGGAGCACCAATGAAGGGTGATAGATGAGAATGAAAACAGACCAGTTAGCCCAATTATTAATTCATCAGGATTTAACCATGATAGTTTCCAGGGGGAACCGCGAGGAGGTCGACCTGGTTGGGTATATAGCTAGCAATGGGATTCTCAGTCTCCATTACTAACAACGCCTTTCCCTCCGATTTCGTATATTAGGTATGTATGTCATATAGATTAACTTTATATTCAGAATACTTGCGGAGGGACAGTGCAATATAGTAACAGTAACGAGTACAACTAATGGGCGTTAGTTTAATTAAACGACACACCTTTACTGACCTTTGTAGGGTTGACAACGGTAAAGTAGCTGTCAAGTGTATCTAGTCCAATAAAGTATATAAATAGATATAAGAAAATAAAATCCACCATTATATACCTCATAAAAAAGACTGTATGCATAAAAGAGGAGTGGAGCCTAGAAATGATAGTTGATAGGGATTTGTGAAGACTATGCCTAAAAAATTTATTAATAGAAGTATATGCCTAAATAGCCTATACGTGCAACAAGTATTCGACGCGATTCAGTTCGAGAGAGGTTAATTTGACAGCTGCGTAGAAAATGTGACGGAAAATGTGGCAAGCGATTTGAGAGCCATACAAAATGTTACAAATGGCAGCTAATGGATAATTATTTCACGCTCACGTGATTAAAAATAAATTGCTGTCAATACAGTTGCTTATGTATGAACGCTACTAAAAACAAGTAACTTTTGCTGCGCAAAAATAAATTGGGACAAAATTAATGTTATTTATTTATTCTTTAGTACAAGATGAGTGCACAAGACGAACTTAATGCTAAAAGCATTCTCTCGCACTCTTTCTTAGGAAAGTGTGAGAATACTAAAATGTGATACTAATATTAATTCATATACGTACATTCTAAAATCTAAATAGATACACAAATAAATATCAAATAAACTTATATATATATATATATATATATATATATATATATATATATATATATATATATATATATAAAATATACAAAAATGAGAATACCAGATAATGTTTACTTAATATCGACTAGTAATCTCATTTTTATTATTTTTAAAACGAATAAAATACCAATTGATGGTTACACGACAAAATTAAGTTAAAAATATTAGTATTATTTCGCGACAAAGAAGAAAGGAATTTTATTTTGCAAAGAAATGTTTCAACTGCAACAAAATAAAATGGAAGAGGCATGAGAGTAAATCGACTGCAAAAAAAATAATCAAGAATAAGTTTCAAAATTGAATTTGGAATACATACATGTGTACACAAAAAAAAGTACGGGACGGAAAGATACCTTCTATTTTTCCAATAACGTGCGCACCCATGACATATTGTTACTGTCTATGAAAAATAATAAATTTGTTTTTACTTTGAATAATGATAAAAGCGTTCATTATCTTTATTCTAGTATAATTTATACTTAAAAGAAAACTTTTAACAACTGCCCAAATCGTTCCAATAAAGGCGAGAATACAATAAATTTTTCGAATCACCGCTACTGTTCACATCAATTCAATCCAGGGTACAGATTTATCGCTTCAGACACCTGGATTCTCTAAGAACCTAGAAACGTAGTTCCGATAATGCCCTTATTCGGAGCGATATATTGAACTAATTGCTCATCGTATCTCACATCCACTTTTATAATAGTAGTATTCATTGTTAAAGATAATTTTGATTTAAATATTATATCATCGTCATCATCATATCAGCCTTTAATTGTCCACTGCTTAAACATAAACTTCCTCCATAAGGGAAGTTTTGCTAGTACTCGTAGTTGCCATGCTTGATAAGCGAGTTGGCAACCGCAGTTAAACTTTGATGTTTTATATACATGTAATATATTATTTTTTTCTAACACTAATTTTTTCATGCTGTACTTTAACGAAACAATATATTAAATTACTTGTATAATCTGTATAGACAGTACGCACTCTAAGTATGTACTTACCGGGACTATAGGTACTACACAAACTCATAAATTGAGACTGGGTGCTCGTTCACCTCGTTATATTTAGGTGCTAAACTTAGGACCACAAAACGAGCGAACAACTATATCATGTTCCGCAATAAAAAAAAAAACTTCAATCGTGAAAACACACATTAATATATGACAAATTGTTTTTAAAAAATATATCATTAATAATATTTAAATTTAGAATACAGATTTTCATAGAATTACATTTTCTAATTCCCAAAAAGAATAAGCTTCAATCAACACAACCTTATAATAAGCTAAGGGCGTAATATAGCTACAAAAATATCAGACGAATTAACTATCCCTGTATAGAAAGTTGCTTAAAAACACTATCACGGCCAAACCAAGTCCAACAACAGTTTTTTCGCTCCGCTCCAAGTTAAGTCCATGGTGAATTTAATATCTTATTTTGCTGCTCGTATGAAGGGAAGCTTTCCTAGTGTCAAAAATTTTCTAAACCATTGTACATAAGAACCTCTACTTTAGTTTAACGAACGACAGCTATTCTACATCAGTAAACAAGTGGTCATCATTGTTAAATTATTCTTAGACAATTAAAATATTCGGTCTGTGGTGGGATTCCATTTTGAAAACCCGAAACTGAGCAATCAAACGCTAGCAACTGAGTTGTCATCGCTGTAAAGCGCGAAGATTAATAATATTTGAAGTGTCAGTTAAACAGAATACTACGACGCAACTCTCGCTACCGCTGTCGCTCCTACGCCGCTCACTTCGTAGCTCTAGACTTAACAATGTGTACACAGCTTTTAACGTTGAGATAACTCGAGCAAGATCGGATAAACTATAATGTACCTAGGTTCATTGAAAGACATTAAGGTAGGTATATATAATACAGTCTACAAAACGATAATAGCTCTTAAACACTAGAACATTAAGGCTGTAACTTCTAACGAGCTAACTTTTCCCTGCGCAACTGATCAACACTGATAGCAATGACGTAAACATTAACCAGTGTTTAGTAGCTTTAACATAAATTGCAATTAATTGAAAGAATAATTAAGTTGTGTGAGAAATTTATCTTCGTTAGTGATAGTTACATAGTTTAAAGACCTCTTTTTTACTAGTCGTCCAATAGACACGCCCAGATTACGTCCCGAATTGTAACAACACTATACAAAACATGCCGAAGGTGTTGTACCATTGGCTGTCCCATACATTGTGGTAGTTAATCGAATTAAACATCGTCAACATGAATACCTCTGTATTACTGGGGGGTAAGGGATTGTTAGCAATGGAGTAAATGGAAACCATCGTGGTTAGTTCTAGGTGAATTCGTCAGAATGGGCTAACTGACCTGCTTTCATCCTCATCTATCATCTCTTACCAGTGCCCCGCCATTGTATACCGATAGCGCAGGTGCGTA